TACATTTGGCAAGTTTGTATTTACCCTTAGTCCTGCCGTGCTTGCTGTTTTTTTTTTAATACAAAGTTGCACACGGTATTGCTTGCGCACAAAGTGCTGTGTAATTAACTCTCGGTAAGCCTTATAAACGAGGCAAAATGCCCAATAGATGTGTTGCTGGTGGTTGTTCGAATTTTCCTGACTCTTCAAACAACATTGGTCTTCATAAATTCCCTGGAAACAACGATTTAGACAGAAAGCGACGGCGAATTTGGGTTACTTTTGTACAGACAAAGCGGGCGAAATAATCTCCAACAGCGAATTCCAGACTTTGCTCGCAGCACTTTCGGAGCGAGGATTTTGAAAGTCCGTTCATTACAATTCCTGGATCGACTTTCGTAAATCGACCAGTGTTGAAAAAAGATGGTGTTCCTACAATTCACAAAATCACGAGCGCTCCTACATCAGGTGAACAAAGTCGAAATAGCCAGAGTTCACGGACAAAGCAGCATCGTCGCGTAAAGTATCGAGTTGAAACCCTCCAAATCCACTTAATATCTCCGTTTCAATAATTGTATATTTACCCGGATAATAGTTATATTCTGAATTATCATCCGGAATAGAGTCATTTTCAGAGTCTGGGGATGTTTTAGACATTGTTGATGTAGTATTATCAGTTAAAATTTATCGTATACAAGTCTTTGCAATACCGTATTTATAGTATATTGGTACGCGAAGCTTAACACGGGTTCCTCGCGCTACGTCACTCGTACCAGTTTTCCGCTTATCCTTTAACTGACGGTCAACATTCACAATCTCGCAGTATTTGGTCAGAAAAAGACATGAAAAAATATAAAATCATCAAAAACCAAAACGAATCCTCATTATTAGCCACCTATACTTCCCATTTATGAAATAAAAAAAATTGGTTGATATGCACTTTAAACATAAGGTTTTAAGAAAAAATTAAATTCATCCATGCATAGAAAACAATCTGGCTTTATATTTTCGAAATTGTTTTGTTATGAAATATTTTCCCGCTTTATTATCATTTAATTACCTTCCGTAATGGGTACGCCATCTCTTGCATTAGTAATCGATCCAGTGGTACGTTGCGTCAACTGTTTCGTCAAATCCTCCATGTCCTCTCTCATTTGATGAATAACAGACGCAAATTTTCGTTCTGAACTGGAAGTTCTTTATTATTCATATTCGCTGCTGGTGTGCCAACATCTTCGACTGGTGAAACATGCATGACTGATAAAATCTAGAGAAATGATAAAATCTTGCGAAGCAATGGGAGAGGTATCGATGTTTAAGAATTAAAAAACGAGTCGCGTGCCTTTATGGTGTAATAATGCACGATGGGGGAATGTTGGGAGAATACGAGAGAAGCTTGTAAACACGAGGCGTAGCCGAGTGTTTTACAAGCTTCTCGAGTATTCTTCCAACATTTCCCCGAGTGCATTATTACACCATAAAGGCACGCGACAAGCTTTTTTAATTCTTTTATAATATAAGAAGAATTATAGGGCAACAACAAAATTTATTTATTTGATCAATAATGAAATTCTTCTTACATGTTATTAAAGATGTTGCTTAGCAACAAAAACTTCAAAAGCCAGAAGCGTGCATTATGGCCCAGTGAACTCTAATAAGACTGGAACGATAACTCAACAATAAAGACTAGTCATTGGATGAAGCCGATTTGAATATAATTTGCTGATTAAGGCGGCAGCCGAGCGAGCAAATCAAGCCTTCAAAAGAACTGGGGAGAGTGAAAATTCCGTAAAAATCGTATTTTTTGGCAAAAAAATTGCGAGAAAAGTGCAATTTTTATTTGACCACTTCAACTTTAAACAACGAATTTACCCTTTTTGGATAGACCTAAGTAATCCGCATCATCTTACTGTAAAAACCGGCGAGGTACCAGCTTTGTACTTAAAATATTTAAAGAATTTGAACGGGCCGAAAAAAAACTTCGCCTTCAACTCGCAAAAAAAATAGGTTTGCACCTTTCACGTTCATAAAACTTGTTTTTTAGTAAAATCTAAGTGTCAATGCTTGTTTTAAGCTTTTATTCATGATCAGATGAGAAGGATTTGTGTATAAAAACCGGCGTTGTTTTGGTGGTGTAATTTCAACTCTTGGCCTTCATGGCGGCCATCAGTGCTGGCTTCAAAGATGGCGGCCAAGTTATCGTTCCAGTCTTTTTAGAGTTCACTGTTATGGCCTCACAATGCACGCGCGGTAGCCAATCAAATTGCTCGTTATATCATACTTATATTATAAAAAGGTTTCAGATTCGCGAGCGCAGGGTAGGTCCTCAATTACATCAGTACAAACTGAAAATAATTTTGGAATGTGTCAAGTGTTTCGGCAATGAAGAAAAATCGCGTTATTACTCCGGCGTCAGCGACGGAGTTGAAAATTCGCCTCGGTTTTGTTTGTTTTTGTTTCTTTTTTTTTTTTTTTTTCGTCGTGGCAAGTCTGAAATGGTGCGAAATATACTAGTGTTTAAAATGTGTATGTGATTGCATTTATCTATGTCCCAGTCTTGTCTCCCAAGAGTTGTGGTGCACAGCTTTGGCTAATTTTCCGATGCGCGATTCGATTTCGCTCGCATGATACAGCAATTCCTCCAAGAGGAACAAATAAACCGTTCTTTTCATGCTTTTCGATTAAGTTTAGATTGAATTGGGGTAAGAATATATTTAATACATGTAGATTCTGGTCCTATTTTAGTAATATCGCTGCTATTTCGCCGTTTAACAAGATGATGTGGTCGTGTATGGGCGCTTTGACTCGTCATAGTTTGCACAGGATTGAAGATTTAATTTATAACTATACAAGCGCGAATTCCAAAGGCAAAGTGTTAAGTGTAAGACAAAGCGAATGTATCATGCCGTTTATTTACATTTTTGAACAATTGAACTTCTATACTTTTTAAAGTACGATGTGCTTCTGAATTTTGCGATCGAACAACATTTAGGTTCGCAAGGCATTTAAATGAATATGATTTATATGAACTGTATTGTTTATGTTCAGAAGCTTTAATATTGAAGACTGGCACGTGCACGGCACGCCGGAGTTAACGCCAGAACAGGCGTCTTGTTTCAGTGAAAATTACATGCGCGTTAAACTTCGAGTAATATAATCAGTAAGGTTTCGAAAATACTAAGATATTTTCGTTTGATATTTCCGTCCGCATCTAAAGTTTATACATCTTGCGACAGTTACCTCGTTAAGCACATCAATTGGCTTTTAAGTATAGCCACTACGAGAGGAGCATGATTCGACTTGCAATCTATTTTCAACAACTTTATTACGGCGAATAACGGAGACTGAATTTGGAATCGATGAGTTTCCTGTTACCACTGCATACAATCATTAGTTGAATTACGAATTTACATAAAGAGACTCTATATACATAGTTGTGGTATAGAAGAACAATCTCAAAAGATGTCTCATTTGGCACCAATGTTTTAAATCATTTTTAAAATTTCTCGAGGATTTTACACCCCGTCACACCTTGTACAAAATTTTGTTCAATTTACATCATTTCCTCTATTTGTGTTAATCTGCCCAGCTGGAAGAGCTAGGGCCCCATATACGCCGTATAAAAACCGAACGCTAAGCGTTTACAATCTACCTACAATCAAGGTGTAAAACTCACCTGATATTTGGGAAGGCACGGTTAGTCCATGAAGCTTGAGGATAGAAACTGATTCATCTCTTTGTGTCTTCAAAATATGGATAACACTATCCTTGTGAAGCAGTTCACGTTTCTGTTGTTACACCAACGATAACGCCTGATGTGAAAAAATACAGAAGAGTTCTATCAACCTTAATGTTGACGTTGAAGTCCCTGATGATCAGTTTAGTAACATTATATCACTTCATATGGACCTTGTAGGGCTGAAACTTTAACGGGATTCCAAATTGAAAAAGGGTAGGGTAGAGGCAATGGAAAGGGGTGTAAAATTTTATTTTTTACATATTCATATATATATTCACCTCTTCTTTGCCTTGTGTTAAATTCTTAACTAGTTCTCCTTGTTTATCATATGTACCCAGTTCTTTCTTCCTATTCATATCTGCGCTGCCAATCTAACTCTAGCTCAGCCCTAGAACGTTCCAACGACGACTCTCTTTCCAAAGATAAAGACAACTCTTTCTGCCTCCTAAAGAAAAAAGTTGGATCAAGACCTGAATTTACATCTTTAATAGAAATCTTCAATACGATACACGACTAGTAATATCAACACAAAATAGGATTCGTAAATTGCGGGTATGTTTTTTTTAAGATTTTCGATCAAACTTTTTCACTTTTTCTTTACCTTAAAAAATCGTTTGTTATCAATCCTTATTTATACTGTAGTACAATATTAATGAACACATATTTGCACTTCAGCTCAGCGAAGGAGGTGTTTTAGACGGATGGATTGAATGGCTTCAAATAATGGCCAGGTTTATCTGACCAGATATGTTTAAGCCCCATGAAAAATCACCTCATACGGTGAGCCTGCAATTATTGAGGAACGTTTTACGATAGGTCGGAATTTAAAGACAATCGAGAAAACAAAGTTATATTCAACGTTTATTCGAACCTCTCAAAATTATTTTTTCTCCGCGCGAGTTCAGATCTCATATTGGCATCCTGTTGATGCAACGTTTCCAGTTCAACATCCTTTGCTACAGTTAATCTGGAATATTCCTGGTTCTGTTAGTCCATCTTGCTCTTTAAGTTTGCGATTGATTGATTTAGCCTGTGTAATAAAAAAAAATCACTTGTCACCTGTAAAAAGTCGTTCCTCTCGAATTGTTAAAAAGTTGTCGAATTTCAACATCAACTTGTTCAAAAGCACTATTCTTGAACGGATGAATTCATGAAAGTCATAATAAGGCCTTCCTACAGCCCAGTATTATAGGTTAAATATGGTTTCTCGGTTCAAAAGCGGATATATTCTGAGTTTTGAAATAGACATGCCCTGTGGCAGAACTTAGGTTTGTGAAAATAAACTAGAACAGCTCACATTTGGATACTGGACATATTGAGAATTAAAAATATTTTCAAAAAAAGCTACTCGTAGACACTAGACACGAGTAATGAACCTTTGGAGGTTCACAATCAAAATAAATAATGCATTTCGACTTACGCCAGATCCACCAATGAACATATATTGGTACAGAAATCAGAAATTATGCAGAATGTGAATGATTTAGGTAAGAACCCATTTCAATATACATGGTCTTGTCCCCCGTCCCTCCCCCCTGAGGAATTTCATAAAGCTTACGTCTGTATTGTGACATCATTTTCCTACAGTTTGTCCACAAGTCTCCATTCCCTTTGACGATGTTCCTGTTCTTTAGCTTCGAGTTGGTTTTGTAATTTGCGAATATTCTGTTGAAGTTGTCTTTCTTCCTCAGTGAAACCCTGGAATGAACAATCAGAGGTTTAAATAATGTTAAAGCATCATTGGGATGATCGATATATAGCTAATATACCAGGAGTGTATATACGGCTGTACATATTGTATTGTACAACCATAGGAAGCCCAGACAAATGAGTTGAAGTTAATAAAACTCCGTAAAACACTTGAGATATGTGTTAAAATTAATCAAAGTATGTTATATGCTACAAAACTACTGTTAGAACCATGTATGTAGCGTGCTCCAGTGGCGCTGCCATTTGACTATGCAACTAGTGACGTAACTTACTATATTATTGGGAAGGATGGAAACTCTCGCCTCATTTTTTAACATGTTGACGAATTAAAACACAAATTACTATAGTAAAACGGCACGTCGACTGCTAAATGCCTACCGTAGTTTTAAGTTGAATAATCAAACTATACTTTCATAATAAAAATAATGCTGAATGCAAAAGAAAGCGCTGGAAAAACGTACACAAACTTTGTAAATTTGCCGAAATTTACGTGAATTCATGCGGGATGTAAGTACCTACCCAAAATGGCGGCGGCAAAAGAATCTGATTGGTCGATCATTCTTTGTTTACCTTTCTCGACCAATCAGATTGGTTTATCATACTTTGTTTACCTTTCTCGACCAATCAGATTCTTCTGCCGCCGCCATTTTGGGTAGGTACTTACATCCCGCATGAATTCACGTAAATTTCGGCAAATTTACAAAGTTTGTGTACGTTTTTCCAGCGCTTTCTTTTGAATTCAGTATTATTTTTGTGATGAAAGTATAGTTTGATTATTCAACTTAAACCTAGGGTAGGCATTTAGCAGTCGACGTACCGTTTTACTATAGTGATTTGTGTTTTAATTTGTGAACATGTTGAAAATTGAGGCGAGAGTTTCCATCCTTCCTAATAATATAGTAAGTTACGTCACTAGTTGCATAGTCAAATGGCAGCGCCTCTGGAGCACGCTACATACATGGTTCTAACAGTAGTTTTGTAGCATATTACATAATTTAAATAATTTTAACACATATCTCAAGTGTTTTACGGATTTTTATTAACTTCAACTCATTTGTCTGGGCTTCCTATGGTACAACCCAATTGTTGCGTCTTTTCAATAACTAGACACTCAAAAAACTACCACAAGAATTAATGTTTGGTATCTTGTTCTACGTGAACATTTCTTTGTTGGGGTTTTGTTCATAATGAAGCGACTTGCAAATCGCTGTAACCACAATGTTAAGGCCCTGTTACACTGCGCAATTTTTCTTGCAACTTGCAGTGCAATTCTACTTTTGAAAGATGTATGTAAATTTGGGAATAACAAAACTTTTGTGTTCATACACTTCACGCACTTTTCTTCTGCAAGACTAATAATTTAAATATCTTAGCAGTGCAATTGCATTGCAAGTTGCAAGAAAAATTGCACCGTGTAACATGGCCTTTAGTACTAATTACCAGTGAATTCGAATTATGGCAGTCTGAAAGGAATGTCTAAATAGAAATCCATTCTGCAGAATTTCATAGATTTTATTTATCAACAAACCAAACTTAAATGCAATTCTCATGCAACATGCAATGATCATAGTTAACTGGTTTGAGTTATTCGAAAAACAGGTCATTTGATCTGAAGGTTATGTTCATCTAAATAATTGTTAATGAACAGGCATATTGAGGTTTTTATGGTCTTAGGCAATGGAAAAATTTTCTGAAAAATTTCACAATCTAGAGAACAAAGGTCCTGTGTTTCTTGCCATTTGCCGAGGAAAAGTATGGGGTCTACTGCATTTTTCCATTGTATTAACACCAAAGTCTTTAAACACAGACATTTAAGACAGCTTGTCAGGTTTAAAAGCTGTAAGTTAATCTGCTGAAAATGTGTCAGATTTGGTGGAAACAAGTATTAATTTCATGTCCAGAGTCAACAAATATAATCCTTGATTCTAATTAAAATCCTCTAGTATAAGTAAACAGCAAAAAGTCATTTTCATATTTCAAAAAAAAACTCATTTTAATGAGTTCAAATTTTTTTGAGAGAATTATAAGAAAATTTTCTTACTTTTTTTCTTAAGAAAATTTTCTTAAAATAAGAAAAGTTGCACGCAAATAATTTCTCAGTTTAAGAAAATTTTCTTGAAATTGGTCCAAAATTTCTTATAGAATGTTTATAATGAGAAAAATTTTCTTAAGAAATTTTTCTTAATATAAGATATATTTCCAAGAAAATATTTTCTTATTATAAGATAAGTTAATTCTCAAGAAACCCTAGAAACTCTGACATGATATTTTGTTACATGTATGAATGTAATGTAAATTTACTAAAATATTCATGAGTCATAATATAGAAAACACAGCAGACATTAATACATGAGAATTATAGGTCCTACATGATAATATAGAAATATAGAGAAATGATCATATATAATATTGCACCTAGGCTTTGAAGGTTTTGTATTTGTCCAGTGCTTATTTGACATGTTTTTAAATATCAATTATTGCAGTACAGATCAATTATTGCAAAAGGATTTTTGTGGTCCTTAAAATCAGATGAGACATCATCAGATAAAGTTGAGAGTAAATAATTTAAAAATTGGAGTGAAGTAAATCCTAAGTTCACACTTAAAATAAAACTTTGCAATCGTGTTAGGAATTGAGTACATCAAACAAAAAATACTAGTAAATAATAATTTAGCTACTGTGGGGAATTTTAAGCTATTCTTTAGCTATCCCCTGCTATACCGGCATCTTTAAGAAAACTACTTTAAGACTATTATCAAATATGCCCATCCTTAAACCCATTCTACACTGCTTTTCTACCTCCCTATGATAGTGTAAATTCCAATCAATTCACCATGTAAATGCATGTAATTGATTCAAACAATATATAGATAGAGGTCTTATCCAATGAAATCAAATTGTGTTAAATCCAAAAACTGTCCCTAACAAGATATGGATGGATAAATGTATCTGAAGGCAAAAAAGAGAGCTTTGTGATAATTTTAATGATATAGGCAGACTCTGATGCACAATTTATACCCTTTGGAACAGTCCCAACCCTGCTGTGGAGAAGCACTGTTACATTAACCCCTCTCGATTTAGTATCAATCTGAAAATATAACTCAACTCTTTATAATATCCTACATTTCAAACAAAGACATTAGAAACACTGCCATATGCTGCTCCTTCGTTATATATATATCACAACATTGGACTATTCTATTTTGCTCCTCTGAGGTATTCTAGCCAGGCCATAATTGCTGAGGAATTCTAAGGTATTGTTTAGCTATCCCTACTATAGCCAACTATTTAACTATATAAACAGATAATAACATGGAAAATCATAGCGCAAATCATTGAACGATGAAAAAAGACCTAAATGCAATTCTTGATCTATAATAGGGTCGAATAAAGGCTAACGAAGGCTAACAAATAAAGGCTTATACGTTGTATATATATAATAACAC